GGTCATTCATTGTCTTTCTTTATAACCACTTTAATTCTTCTTTGCTACGAATCACTCGCTTGATGGTGTTTCCTCTGGTTGCCGGCAGTAACACGATTACGCGCCCATCTGAGGTCCATGCCTCTTTCACCTTCTCATGCTGCTTAGCGGCATAGAGAAGGTCCTGATTGGTCTTCGTCAATGCCTCGTCGATTCCGATACCACTTCCCTTTAGCTTCCTGCGCACTTTCAGGATTTCAGTTCTCATGCGATAAGTAGTGAGCTTCACGATGATTGCTCGCGGTCTTGGTTTCTTCGATGCTCGCGCTGTGCCTGGTGCCAGTGACGTAGTTCCGTGTGCTTCGTCACGCTTGGGAGCAGCGATCCGATGGGACCGGTCTATGTCATTCGGGGTAAGGGATACCCCGAGACGCTCCGTCACCAACTTACATATGACGTCATCAGTGTTCTCACTCATACTGCCATTCCCTTCACGGTTCATCTCCTCAACACCGTAGAACTTGATGCAATTTCGCCGAGAGTATTGTTCAGTATCGTTTAGGGACATTTTGAAGTTGTCTATAGATGATTGATGGTTACGTAACTGATGATTCAATCTCGTAATTTCTACTTCTTTTGATTGCAGGATGGACTCAAATTCCAACAGTTTGACGTCATTATGGTCAAGTCGCTCTATTATGTTTTCGTTAACCTTTTCAATCTTTGACAGTCGCTTGATAAGTTTACCTAATTGTTTGCTTACGGCTTTATCGACTGCCTTTTCAATGCCGTCGTAGTAATCGTCGCTTTGGAGATATTCACGAATAGTTTTCATGGCTGCTTCTTCAGCCTTAGATTTAACTGGCATATTGCTGAAGCCAGTGATTCACTCAGGGGGAATGTGATATGTCAGTACAAATATATGAATATAACCAAAAGTTGAAGAAAAATTGTTCAGGCAACCAGAATATTACAGTTGAAGTTGACGAACTAGACCTTCGTTCATACTAAACATATTCACCAATACATTTCCGCAAATAGAGGAGACAATCTTTCAAAACATGTCTGATAATTCCTCGCTAAAAATGATATCAAACATCAGTTAACTCATGTATGTTCTTGTGTAACAACACAAACAGATAATAGGTCTGAGTATACTGCACCGATTATGATGTAGGTTGAAGAACTAACACAAATGTGTATAACTGTATATATAGTCACCCGCACTCAACGATAGCATATGGGACTGTATAGTCATTCACTGAACAGTAACAAGCATCAGATCATTCACTTTCACCTCCATAAAACTTCGAAGAATCCACTATCAAACTTCCAAATCACATTTCAAAGTGCCACAATTGGCATAAAAATACACAGCAGCAAAACAAGAGACCATCGCGTTATGAAATAGGAGTTTTATCGATGATTTTACTCCTATTCGGTAGTACATGTCAAAACAACGCGTATGTATACGTATGTATACGTACGTTTTTGTTGCTACTCCTCGCTTTTGCAGTAGGCCTACCAATCATCTCTTTATATGCACTGTGTAGGCCTACATACATGTACAAAATTGAAACAATAATTTCAGATGAAAAGTAGATCAATATAAAAGTTCTTGAAAAAAGAATCCATTTCTTCAGACTGATGTCAAAGTATTTACATCAAAACACAGCAAAACAATTATGATGTGTAAAAATAGCCCTCTCTCACGTCTCCAAATCTAGACTTCTCGCAAGGCAATATCCTTCCAATTGGCATGCTTGATCTATCATCAATCCGAGTACATGGAGGCCAGAGCGATAGATTGAAAACTGAGAATGACAGCTCGCAGATATTGCTGTTTTCTAATAAAGACACAGTTGCTACTCCCACGCAAGGAGAAAGGCTAAGAACAGTCTTACTTTTTCCAATATCAAGTGTCCCATGCCTCCTTGAAGCAAGCCTTCACTGATCTCTGGATTTCTCTAAATATCACTTATGATTGAACTGGTTGAAATAACCCTCACAACAGATTTATAACAAAGTATGAATGTTATTATTGTATGTTGTATTAATTACAGAACAGGTCCAAAATCTGTTCCAAAAGCTTGCAAATAACTTCACAACAAAGAAAGCAGACAGAAGTTGGAGGGGGAGGCAGAGGTTAAGAAAAGAGCATACATGGAGTTAATATCAATGACATTTAGAAGCATGATCATGCAGAAAAAACTATTGGTGTTCCATAGTTAGGAATTTCTTCTGGAAATATCACATTTCTCATAGTGCTTGCAGTTGCCATGGAAGCAATGTTTGTTTATCACATTGGTGGAGGGGCATGCACTTTTAAATATATCCTTCCTGTGAGAAGTACTCAAAGTTAACTCTTCACACCCACTAACCAGAACTTCCTGAATAAGCTATTTCCTCTCACAAAAAAAGGATACAGACATCCAACATGGGTTAAGGACAGAGAGATCTCTTTTGTAAAATGCATGCTGAATACTCTATCATACACATGTTAAAAGCTTAGGAACAATGAACATTTCTGAACTAAAGATAGTACAGATTTATAGGAGTATTCTTTTTTAATGTACACAGAGTTTATCTCCTCTTTTTCTTCTATTTTCTCCTCTTATAACTATCACCAAGATTTGAAGCTTCATGATATCACACACTGGTACCGGTACACATACAGTATATCTACAAATTCAGGTTGCTCATAGGCCTTCTTTGTATAAAGTAGGATTAATCAATCATGTAAAAAGGACAAAACACAACATGCATCATCATGTGTTTCTGATAAATTAACCCTGTACGTCATACATCATTCACTCTGAAAAGTATGGAAAGATGGAAACAAAAAAGTGGTAAAACCCTAGATTATGACAATCCTTGTATTTCGAAATGCCACATACATGTACATACACACATGCAGGCATGTATTCTGAACAAAAGACTCCGCACGATGACATCACATATTTGATGTCTTTCATCACTGCTGCTGATATCGTTCCTAAAATACTTGATAACCTGATTCACAGGATCAGAGTCATTCTTCAAGACGTGAGCCAACCCTTCCTACATACATGACAAATTATACGATGAGTGGGAGGTGTGCTACAAGACTTGTGACATGACATTACATGTACTGTATGGTAGTCAATTTGTTAGATTTTAATTCATTAAAATGCAGGTAATTTTAATGCACACTAATGACACTATTACAATGTAAATTCAAAGTAACATTTATTTTTTTCCAACATGTACACTTGGTATTTGATTGACTTATAATGAAAAAATAATTAAAATAACAAGTACATGTAACCCGACCGATGCAAGAATAGACGTTTATTTTGCTCTTTTCTCACTAATTATACAATTTCTTTCAAATTCCTTTAGCAAAAGTAATTTATTTGTACTGCCTAACAATCGGTGTGAATTTGAATTTGAATAGAAACTGTTTCAATGCAGGTGTTTTTTTTCACCATCACCAGAACTCAATCTTACGTTTAATATTTGAATGTACATTTACAGTTGGATATGATGTTTCTTCTAGATTCAGAGTTTGTCTGAGAAATTCAGTGTCATGGAAGAGGTTATTTATTTGACTATAACTTAATATTAATTAATGAAATTTAAAATCAAATCATGTTATGAACAATATAAAGTAATTCAATTCACAAAATCTGAATAACAGATGTGTCTCGGAGAGCAGGTGTTTATATTTTAAAGGCAATGTAATTATCAGATTCATAATTTTCATACCATCTTTATTTTAAATTCATCAAAAGTACAGTAATATGCTCATTTAAAAAAAAAAGTAAAACTGTGACAACAAAAAATTGAATTGATCTAAATGAACTAAAATAAAAGAATACATGTAAGCCACCGATACTCTGATGCAAATGGAATCCTGATTTGAATGCACTGGATGTTGTCTATTAAATCCATATCTAAATTAAACAATTTTCTTTTTACTTCGACATATAATTAATAGTTCTGCTATTTTTGTATGTTCTACTGTATATCTTACTTCTGTTCCTTTGTTTATAATACAGATGCTTTGAAGTGGACTCAGTGCCTTACAAATCTTTATCATTGTTTCTATTATTATTACTACTATTATTATTATAATTTGTATTATTATCATTGTCATTGTTAGTATTATTATTATCATATTCCCTCACACAATTATTTTACCAACTTAATACTTTATATCCTTCTCACATGAAGGCCCCACTTTTGTATGCAGAGTACAAAAACCTACATTATATTATGTCTGCACAGCTAAAAAAACACCTTATGGTAGCAAGGCTGTGGTTCTTTTATTTGAAACCACAAAGAAACCGAGAGTGTCATCAAATACAATAGAAATGATCATCCTGGGCAATAAAAGAATAAGCTACCGATACTCAGATAAAAATGATATTTAATTTCTACAATTTCCTTAGTTTATATCCCCCATAGCTTACACAATTATTTTACAAACCTATAATTACTTTATATCCTTCGTACATGAAGGCCCTACTTTGGTATAAATCAGTAACAAGATTACCAGAATAAAATATATGCAGAGTACAAAACCTGTATTCAATGGTGTCTGCACAGCTACATGTAAAAAACACCTTATGGTGGCAAGGTTGTGGTTCTTTTATTTGTAACCACAAGGAAAGGTAGACTGTCATCAAATACAATAGAAATGATCCAGGGATATTATTGATCCTAGCTAACAGACAGAGCTCTATATAGATCCATTCCTGCAGAACGACTATGACTAGTTTTCAATTTGAATAACTCACTACCTCAGACCTCTAAATAAAAGAGGCATTCACTGCAGCATTGAGAAAAATCATTCATGCAAGTATAAATGCACATTAACTGACAGCGACTCGCCCTATAGATATTATCATGAAGAACATCATGAAAATTAATCCTCAATCTTCAACCAATATTCATCAATCTTAACACAGATGCATACCAACCAATCAATCAACATCTCAGATCTTCACATAATTCTTGGCAATTTGTATTGCTCCTACCTGATAAAACTATGATGTATGCGTCTGCTCCACCACAAGAAGGGGAAAAATGAGAGACAGGATCACAGAGAGGCCCGTTTTCAGAGAGCGCTATACGTGTGAGAGATGCTACGCAGGGGCCAATACCGTTATCATTACCAATGCAGCGCCACTCCCTTCCAGAGATGAGTTACCCTACAGCCTGTAGAATCTTCAGCGCACAGTGGGAGACTGTGCGTGTTATATTACCAAAGTGTATATAATGCTAACATGTAGCTCCCATCCAACCAACGCTCAATAAATACCTCTGCGCTATCCCACCGCACTGTGAATGCAGTATGTATGCATTGAGGCCTGTGTGTCTGCGTTGTGTGTGTGTGAGCAGTAAGTGTGTATGGACTGTTCAATATGTGCGGCTCTGTAAACATAGCAGATTGATAGTCTTTTTACTATGCAGTCTTTTAGTTTCTTTTCTTTTCCCTTCCCCTCTCTGCTAATCCTTTTATGAATATCTTTTCCCCAAGTATTCCTTTAAACTTTGAACAGATTTTCCCCAAAAAATATGTACATCCAAGGTCATCTAGTTGGTAATATATATGCAGACCTACAAAAGGAAAGAAAATGATATACTTGTCCCCAAAACTGGCATCTTTATATTTTTTTCCAGGCTTTGTTGTTTTCCAAGAATGCAGCCAAATAACAGCTCAATATGAGAAGCATATGACTTCATGATTTAGAAATACAGGCTCTCCATACGTAATTATATACCTCATACATAGATTGTCATTCACTGATTGGTCAAAACTACATGTATATCACATCACAAGGAGCATTTCGATCTATCAAGTATCATTGCGTCAGAGGGCTCGATAGCTACTATCAAACCCTGGGATAGGACCCCTAACCCCTCCCGCGACTTAGTTGCGCACACAATTTTTGAGTTGCTAGGCTACCGCAATCGCGCGATTACGCGCAGCGCGAAGGAATTCAATACTCTTGCCTTGGACTTGAAGTTGGATTTTTCTTATTCTGGTGAGTAAATTCCTCTTGATCTCGTTTCCTGTTCTTTAGAGCTAGATCTAGACCTACAGCTAGACCTAATTATGAATCAATAAAAAGGATGAGGTATATAAAACAAATATGGACTGCTCTGTAATCAGATGATGGTGGAAACTACCACTCCCTCGGTGGTGTTCACACTGGCCCTTCTATCACCCCGAAGGGCCAGTGTGAACACCACCTTGGGAGTGATAGTTCCCACCATCATCCTCATGAGCAGTCAATATTTGTATACTGTAAAATAATTAGTTATACATGTACATGTACTATCAGTCCATCACATATCAGCATGATCGAACAGCCTACATGTACATGTACCTTTAGAAATGATGGCAATATCCAGTCAGTAAATATACCGGTTATAATTATCTGGATTTAAAGAGCGCTTAACACGAAATACCGTCTCTAAGCGCTTCACAGATATAATTACCCCGGTCATCGGATTAATTCACGCACAATGTGCACCATCTCCACTCCCTGGGGAGTATTCCTACCACATGGTAACCGTGAGGGCCATAGGCATTTACTATCAAAAATGCTTTTGTCATCCTATCAGGTCCCCATTTTTCTCCTGGGTATGGAGTGGTAAATGTAGATTAATGCCTTGCCAAAGGACATTAGTGCTGTGTCGGGGATCGAACCCACGACCTTTGCATTTCAAGTCAAGTACTTAAGCCACTCGACTACGTCACCTCTTTATACATATACATAGTATCTCACAGTCTGTGCGTCGAGACTAAACGAGCGTGGCACAAGAATTTATTATGCTGATATCTGGTTAAAGGTCTACAAGGTGAAGTTTATTAACTCACTTCGGGACAACAGGCCATCTAGGCTCTACATTTAACTCTGATATTTGCATTTCATTTCAAAAGCAAGTACCGGTTTACAAATACACGTGTAGATTTATGCTGAAAATGATTGATACCCGTATATAAAACTATTTGTAAAATGGAAAGCTGAAACTATTACCAGTATTTAAAACTGAAAAGGCATTGCAGGGATTTGCACATTGTAATATTTTAAAATTGTAAAAATGGCTAAAACTTTGTAAAAAATCATGAATGCAAATTTTCCTAAATGTACAGTGGCAAAAATGTATTACCAAATTACAGCCATTTTTTCTCTCAAATTTAAATTTTGCAACTGGCAGTATTTTGTTCACTCTACAGCACTCTTAGCGCTACAATTTTCACTATGTAGAGGAAAACCAGTGTCTTTTAATCTGAAAGTTGGTACATACTGTCATAAACTCATTTTTGCCAAAAATTCATTTTGAGATAAGTTTTTGAGGGTTTGACGATCCCTGATAGGGGCTTCAATATATGTAAAAAATATAATTTGCATCAATAAATGTGATAATACCAATAATGCTATAAAGTGTAACTAATTAGCATATCATAGGCTCTAGTACTTTTGGATCATAAACCATTTGTTAATTTAGAACTATCTGTTCTTGGAGTCCTATTTATAAAAGTCCATTTTCCTTCAACAATATCAAAACATGGTCACAAGTCACATGATCTTGTTTCACTATTTTGTAGGCCTACAGTAATTACACATTGCATGCATGTTTTGTTACCTGTACATGTACCAATCATTTGTCTACTTCCTCTTTTTACCCCATTTTTTTTCCCACTCTTCAAGTCTCATTTTTTTTAAAGTTCAATTTGTTTTATTAAAAAAATATCAATATAAAAAAAACGATGAGGCGATGTTCACCTTAGACCAGGGCAAAACACTTGGCGAGATAACAAACAGTCTAGCAGGAATCAATGCAGATGTACATGTATACCGGTTTGGTTGACAAAATGTATCCTTCAAACATATAGGTATGAACATGTACAGAATATGTCATCCATCGTATGTAGCATCCATCCACGAGTACATCATAAATGTGATGGGCAAATTTATCTCACATACATGCACATGTACTTAGGCATACACATCACAAGAACATGTACATCATCAGCACGTTATCCACGTATACTGAACATGTACCTTCCAGCACAAGGATACAATATAATTATAGGCATGGAGCCTAATTAAGTAATTACTAGGCAATCTACATGTACGATCATTCAGCTGACTTACTGTTACGCTCTATGAGGAAGAGGGCAAGATAGGAGAGCAGGTAGCAGAGAACGTACAACGTTCCGAGGCATAAGATGAGCAAGAGAAAGAGATCCGGGTGGTCATCAAGAAACGGACACACTGGCATAGCACCCCTACTATCTAGCCACTTACACACATTCAATGACAATGACAGTCTCAATGACGTCAGCGTCCCCACTAAGATGTCCCCAGTAAGATCTCATCAGCCGAGACCTCTTGTCGAGTCAGGGGTGGATGATTAAGCATTCGAGCTCGAGCCAAAAGGCACAAGTGTTGTGTGATTGCACAAGTGTTTCATGACTACACCAACATTCGTGTGCATGTACTAGCCTCTGAATGCACCTAGATTATGTACGACTACAAAATCGATAAGCACTGCCTTCCAGGAATATTGAATATTCAATATCTTTGTCACGGTATTATTGATATGGCACTATTCTGTCATCCCGTTTTGTATTCTAGAGAGACAAATGCACATATGAATAAATTTTCTGAAGGAGATAAAATTACATCCTCCTAACGAGAAAAGAGATGAGTGCATTTCCACACTGCCTCAAATACACATACAGGTGTACAAAATGTTGATCAGGATACAAAAGTATTACGATCCGTCTCCCAAGTCATCAAATCAAAATCTCCACGATTTATTCATTGAAGCAGTCTCTGCAACATCACAAGATGCTTTTAATGCAACGTTTCTGCAAGATGAACATCACACCACTTCCAAGAAATATGTCGTCTAATAATCCTGCGTGATCAATGATGCTGAAACAGGAACGTAACAAAGATGCTTTCCCTTCCTGCATCACTCCAGCTGCTCCGGTCTGATGTGAATCATCATCATCATCTCAACCAAGAAATATTTACCACACATACATTATACACGTAATATGCATCTGAAAGTATAAGGTTATGCAAGCAAAGCAATCCGAGAGTTAACCAACTGCCTGGCGGTCGGTCTCACTTGCTAATGACGTATACAGTGCATATTTCAGCTTACTTGGTTCAACCCAGACCAATTAGAATTCAACTACATGTAATTCACAACCTGCATTTTAACTGGCTTGCAGACGAGGAACACATGAAATGCTTTCTTTATTCCTCAGCTTCTTAGAATAGTATGAAGCACTCGGCACAGTCTGGCGATAGGGGATGGAGAACTAGGACAAGGCAGAGAAAGAAAGAGGGAGGGAGGTGTAAAGAGAAAGAGAGAGAGCGAAAGAGAGAGAGAGAGAGAGGGGGGGAGAGAGAGGGGGAGAAAGGGAGAGAGTCAGCAGGATGAAAATAACAAAAGCACTAGGGATAAAGCCATGCAAAAAGCGAGGGAATATTAAATACATTTATCATGCTATGAGGGTAATACTGAAGATGACAACATGTAAGACTTTAGGGTGAAAGTAGGCACCTCCTTGATAAACAACCTCTTCCAATAACATGCAAAAATTAAAAAATGCGCAAATCAATCATGATGTAAAATCATAACGTATATACGAGAATGTTACTACACCAGGATTCTCCGAGCAATAATGGATGAAAAGAAAAACAAGAAGGTAAAGGGGGAGATAGGGAGAGGGTACACATCATTTTAGTTAGTGTAAAAACCCATATCAATCCCACCACATGACATCACAATCAGAATATAGGAAAGAGCAATTTCATTTCATATCTCTGACTTCCCTTACCCCTAAAAAAGTTCACTTTGCATGTAAATTGCAAGTGCCTAGCCTAATCTTACTAATTACAATTTTCAAGAAATTACATGTATTTGAAATTTGGCCCTACATGAAAAGAACAGAGTAAAGAGGAGAAAGGAAGGGAGTAAATACGCAGACAGGCCCTCAAATAATAACACAGCAGGCGAGGGCCAGTCTGGGACTGAATATTAATGTTGTTGCTATGGGCAACAGTGATGTCAGACTTGTTAGTTGCAGATGGTTGGCTGCTATATTTTGCACACATTAGTGCTAAGCTACCCTGCACCTGTAGGCTACTACATACATGTACAGGCCTGCACTTCACACAATTCAACAGCTACATAGCAACAAGTACTAGTAATGATGTAGCCTAA